TTACTCTATTCAGTACATTTAAGAACAGGTAGCATTTGATTCACTAATTAATGTAGTAGCTTCCTGCCACTTGTAGATTTTCTGCTCCATAAATAAGTAGCTTCCTGACACTTGTAGATTTTCTGCTCCATAAATAAGTAGCTTCCTGCCACTTGTAGAATTTCCACTCAATAAATAAGTAGACTTCGTTCTAGAAAGGTAGGATAATGATCGGCTAGATGTTATTGGTTTAATATTGAGTAGCTTATTTTTTTTTCTCACTCAAGGTTTTGTATGAATTCTTTAATTAATAAAAATATTATGCTAATAAATTGCTAGTTACTACTCGGGTCAAAAATATTTGCCACACTTGATTTGCACTTTTCAATGCGTATCTTTGACACTTATTTTATAAGACATTCTTAAAATCCTTCAGATTCAAGAGATTTTGCAAGTCGCTAAAACACGCCCACCCATCCTACTACATGCAACATATCAATTGAGCAAGCCAACTAGAACGTGCCCAGGCCAACAATTCCCACCGGTAGCTTGCATGCAGAGAGAATCTTTCCATGATTTGAATACAAAATAATACGAGTTCTCATCAACCGTGTATCAGATTTCAAATCTGTTTGAAGCATGTTGTCGGAAAATAAATGTGCCGCTCAAAATGAGATCCATATGGGCTATATATATTTTTGATGAAGTTTTATGAAACATGTGTAGTTCCAACCAGTCAAAACACAAATGGAATCAGCAAAAACTAGAACTAATGTCCAACCAGCAGCAATTATACCTACATAGTTAGAGTTGGAACCAGATCCTATTCCAACCAGACCCAGTTCAAACTAGTCAGAACACGGTTTCAACCACTCAAAACCCAGTTAAATCTAAACCAGCAGCAATCCAGTTCCAACTAGACCCATTTATAACCAGTTAGAAGCAGACAAGGTTCAAACTAGTTCCATCTAGACCCAGTTCAATCTAATCAGAACTCAGTTGAAACCAAGTTGGTGGGTTTGGCGGGAATTAAGGGCGTGTTTGGCACTGCTCCGCTCCACGTTTTTTAGCTCCGCTCCACATTTTTTAGCCAAACGGTTTCAGCTCCACGCACTCTGCTCCAGGAAAAAGGGTGGAGTTGTGAGAGCACCTAAAGAGATACTCCACAAACTCCAGTTTTTTGTGGAGCTGCTCCACGGTGGAGTTTGTGGAGCAGAGTTTGTGGAGCAGTCCCAAACACCCCCTAACTCTGGTAGGAGGTTGTCAGTTGGTTTTGCCTACGGAGGAGTTGGTGGGTTGGCTCAGTCATACGGCCTGAGCACATGCACATTATATATGTGTGTGGCTTATGAGTTTCCAAACTAAATATAACGTAATAAGTATTGAAGTTCATAGTTTCTAAGGTTTGGCCATATCTTGCCATAAACGATATGCGTACCATGTAATGTTTCCAAACACTCTTTAGTGTGTGAAGCCACGAAGAACCACTTGTTATTTTAGAATCTTGCATACTCGGTCCACTACCGCAAATTAAACCCTTAGTTTGCCGAGTGCATTCTATCGAGTTTGTCGAGTGCCACCATAAAAACACTCGGCAAAATAATTACACTCAGCAAAAGAGGTAAAAAAACACTCGGCAAAGTTTGGCACTCGGCAAACAAAAACAAAAACACTTGGCAAAAGCTAGGCACTCAGCAAAGTCCACATCCGTTAGTACGTGTGCCGTCCGTTAGTACGTTTGCCGAGTGTCCGTTAGTGGAAACACTCGGTAAATAAATACACTCGGCAAAAGAGACAAAAAAAACACTCGGCAAAAGGAGGCACTCGGCAAAGAAATATGTTTGCCGAGTGCTAAACATGTGGCACTCGGCAAATAATTTCATTTTTTTAACTTCTAGCCTTGAAACTTTTTCTACTCTCCACATACAACATGTGGTATTCAATGTTAAAATTTGGTATATTTCTGGATATGTTTGCTATATTTAATTAATTTATTACATTTCTAGGAATTTTTTGGTATAAGTCAAATTTGAACTGCAAGTGATTCAAATAATAGAATAGAATGAGTAGAAAAATGATATTCATGTTATTGAGTCCAATGTGAGGCCTTAACAGGAAAATGAAAAGAAATTTCGAGCATCTTGTTCAGAAAACACGACCATGAACGTGTGGTCAATTGATTTTTAAATTCTAAAAAAAGCAAACGAAGTCTGCAAATTATAAGATTTGTCATAATGTGATGATATCATACATGGAGGCTGTGATAAAAAATTGAGAAGGTTTCGCACAATTTTGTCACATACGATGTTTACAAACCGAAGCATCTCACAAGAAAAATCATAGCGTTGAGAAGGGTTCGGTAAGATTTAGAGTCAAAGTGACGGTCGAATTGGGCTTTGGCTTCAAAACTTTTTGTATAGGCAATAGAGAACATAGATTATTTCATGTGAAATTTTGGTAATTTTTTTTTTATCCGTTTGATAATTTCAATTTATTAAGTGCAATTATAGAATTTTAATTGATATAAATTAAATTTAAGCTATAACTGCATAAAATAATAGAATAATATTCGTAGAAAAATCAAATATATATTGTTGAGTCAATTTGACAAGGTATTTTCAAAGGACATAAAAAAAAAGAAAAACATGTTACGAAAAAGAAGGAAAATAAAAAAAAGTAGGGTTTGCCGAGTGCCCCATCTGACACTCGGCAAAGCTGGGCATTGTCGAGTTCCTGATCCGACACTCGGCAAACACATCGCGGCCTCCACGTCGTCGATCCGCGGCACCGATCCCTCCGCCAATCAGAGACCGCTCCTCCATTCCATAAATAAACCGCACCCCACGCCTCTCCTCGCAGCAATCGAAATTCCCCATACTCAAATCGACCGAGTGAGCGAATCTCCCTGTTCCTGTAGCCTCCACCCCACAGCAAGCCGCATCGATGGCGCCCAAGGCTGAGAAGAAGCCGGCGGCAAAGAAGCCCGCGGAGGAGGAGCCCGCGGCCGAGAAGGCCCCGGCGGGGAAGAAGCCCAAGGCGGAGAAGCGCCTCCCGGCGAGCAAGTCGGCCGGCAAGGAGGGACGGCGGACGGCGAGGGCACGGCACTGGTGCCGCCAGAAGAATGGGCGGAGGAACGGCGGGTAGTCGTCCATGTGCACGTTGACGGCGAGCAGCACGCGCTTCATGACGGCATCGATGTTCACGATGTGCTCCTCGTGGAGGTCCAGCAGGCCGAAGGTGCTCCGGGATGCGGCGCGCGGCCGGCCGGCGGCTCGGGACGGGGTGGCGCAGCTCTACGCGGCTTGTCGACCTCGCTGGCTTCCACGACAACGCCAGCAACCCCTCCCAGCACGCACGCATGCAACGCCGCGCGAGCGAGCGGCCGGAGCGAGCAGAAGACGGAACTCTGCCTTACTAGCTTGATGACCTCACCATGAAGTCACGCTCACACCTTATATGGCCATTTTCCTTTAGAAAAATAAATTCAGAAAAACTTTAAAAATACACTTATACTGACAATGAACCTCTATAGTTCCTCTCTGGATGTTTGCCGAGTGTTTTTTCCCGTTGACACTCGGCAAACATGACATCTTCGCCGAGTGCCCGTGTCGTTAGACACTCAGCAAACGCGTCGTGACCGTCTTCTCGCCGTCACGAGACTTTTTTTTGCTGAGCGTCGGTTTTAGCACTCGGCAAAGTTTTTGCCGAGTGCACGATAAAAAACACTCGGCAAAGAAACTTTTGCCGTCACTGTGTATGTCGTGTACTGTTTGCCGAGTGTTTTTTAGGCTTCGCCGTGTGCCTTGGACACATGGCAAAGCTTCTGTTTCCGGTAGTGGTCCTGTAATATAATGCATTCTAGCATTTAAAAATTATCCTCAAATATAATGCATTCTAGAGGAAAAAACCAGTTTTACATTAAATACTTTCCATTTATTAATCAATCATCGTTAATCACGTTGATGATAGTGTTTGATGAGGAAATAAAATGAGAGTACATGCGACTTTTATGTTCTCTCTTCATTTGTCTTGAAATTCATAGAATGCACTATATATATTATATGACAGAGGGAGTATGGAATTCAGAGTCCTTTTTTTTGGCTTTTTGCATGATTTTCTCATATAACTGTACACCTAATATATAATTCTCACTGCCAACTATATACATTAGCAATTAACATGGTCTCTATTACCTATTACTTTTTTTTTGTGAACCACGCAATATTGCCACTTTTGCCTACAGAAAAAACAGCAGGTATATTTTTGTAAGCCCACACCAATAACAGCCTAAAACAACATCTATTCTTTTTTAAAGAACAGGAGGGGCTTGGAGCCCCTACTGAAAATTGATTAAAATAAAGGCAAAGCATTTAGTATAGAAGTTTTAAGGAACAAAAGCAGGTAAGAAAGAAAATTACAGAGGCAGCTAAGAGCGTGCTAGTTCTAAAATCTTTTATAATCTTGCATCTATCCATTCTTGAATCTTTGGGAAATACTTCCTTTTTGCTCGACATAGAAGATTGACGAGCTCCCGCTTGAAAAATGCTCTTACACTCTTGAACTGAAGGCTGAATTTGTTTGAAGATGAGGTTGTGTATGGCCATCCAGATTGCCCAACAGAATAAGATGATAATTTCCATGAAGAAAGCTTGATTTATCTGAGCCCGAAGCCAGATTTTCTACAGGGCTTAGTTCTTCTAATTTTGATTTGAACAAGTCCATCTTGGCATTTGATTTTATATTGATTGTTATGTTCTATTATTTATTCATAAATGACGTGAATAATATTTCCTAACTTCCTAATAATTTTTATTATCATCACAACTGTTTGTAATTTCAAGCTGTACCTTATATGTATATACTCGTTGTAGTGTCTCTAGATTTTGAGTTTTTTATTTTTTGATACTTAGATTTTGAGTTTTTGACTCTTCCGTCCACGTACGCATGCAGGAAGGACAGCTTCGTCACCCACCGCGCTATGTGTCAGGCAGGCACTGGCAGCAGATCGTGAGACCGGCCAGATGCCGCCGCCGGGCGCCGGCCTCTACGTCGACTCAGGCAGCGATAGCCAGGGCCTCGGGCTCTCCGGCGCCGCCGCCCACATGCATAGCTTCGCAGATCAAGGCCAGTCCTCTTCAGCAGCAGAAGCCTCGCTGTTTGACCACGTCATGGCATCGTACTCGGGCTCCTCCAGCATGTTCCGTTCTCAGGCGCCGTCAGACTTCTCCTTGTCTTTCTTCCTCGGCGGCGGCGCTCCTGCTACCCAATACTTCTCTGAGGACGGCGGTGATCACGCCGAAGGAAACCAGGGCCCTCTGCTCCACGGCAAGGAGCCCTTCCATGGCCATGACCTGATGCAACTCCCCGAGCCTCAGCAGCACTACCACCAGCCAGGCAGCAGCAACGCCAACATCAACCTCCCTGGCTTCTTCTCTGGCACCAGCGGTGGCTGGTCCGGCAGCAACCAGCAGGACGCGCGCCTTGTCATCCAAGATCAATTCAACGGCGGCGCTGGCGGCAGCAACACCGAGCATGGTAACGTGATGGCGTCCATTGGAAGCCACTTCGGCGGCGGCTTCCCTGCCCCATACAACTCATCTCCATCTCCATTGGCCTGGCTCTCGGCGACGGCGCTCCTGCTGAAGGCGGCTCAGATGGGCTCAACGTCGAGCACCACCCCCCGCAGCGGCCCCAGCGCGCTGCTCCGTGCAGCCGGCTTCACAGGCACCGTCAGCGGCCAGGAGACTAGCAGGGCAGCAGCAGAAGAGATGTCTCACGAGGCACACTTCCATGATCTCATCATGAACTCTCTACCGTCAACGGGAGGCTCCGGCACCGGCGGCTTCTCCGGCACTGCAGGGTTGGCGGGCGTGGACGACGGCAGTCGTCTGAGCACAAGAGACTTCCTCGGCGTCGGCAGGGACGAGGCGATGGCGCCAACGGCCGGCCTCCACAACATGGGCGCCCTGGATCTGACCCAGATGAAATGGTACATGTGATGGATCGATCAGGCCGGGAATGAACAACAATAATAAACTGAAGATCATGGACGTGAAAGGTAGCTTTCGCATGCATGGAACAGTAAGCTAGTGAGTGACGATCGGAGAGATCGAGTAGTACAGAACCGAGCTTTACTCCCGGTGGGGAACCCCCTCTAGTCCCGGTTCCCCACCCGGGAGCAAGCATCCGGGACTAAAGGGGGGGTCCTTTAGTCCCGGTCGGAACCCTAAGGACTAAGGAGGACCTTTAGTCCCGGTGGTAACACCAACCGGGACTAAAGGTGCCTCCCGACATGCCACGATGGCGGCACCTTTAGTCCCGGTTGGTAATCTGAACCGGGACTAAAGGTTTTTTTCTTTTTTTCTTTTCTTTTCATTTTTTGTTTTCTTTTCAAAATAGGTTTTCGAAGTCGATTATACGCTGCTAATTATACATTTATACTGGCGCATATAGTATGTTTCGGTCAAGCACAATGAACGTATTAAATCACACAATTCAATCATAGAAATATATATATATATATATATATATATGCATGCATGCATCATATATATATTTACATGCATGCATGCATATGTGTATTTTACATTATATTATTTCATGTGCATATATTACAAAAGATTGCATTATAGTTGTTGTGACATAACAAGTTTCTTCTCATCCTCTAGCTTGGCTTCAATGGCAGTGTTGGGTCGAATAGAACTCGCCCTTGGAATCGATGACCTGCTCATTAAAAAATCCGGCTATAGACTCTTGAATTGCTTTGATTTGGTCTTGCCCGTATGACCTTTTCCTCCAACCATCGAGTCTACAGGTTTGAATTAAAGGAAAATAAATTAATATATGTACATATATATATATATAAAGACATAGTAACACAATCAATAATAATAATTAAATGAATATATAGTGTATTTTAACGTACTTTGAGTCTCTCTCTGTAGGAGTTCTTTGGGAGAGCACCTTGATAAACTTGCAAACATAGTAACCACATGAGTTGTTCCCCTGTTCTCGCCTTAGACACCACTTTTACGAGAAAAGATTTGTCATCCAATGGTGATCCGGTGAAAGCTATATGTTGAATTAATAAAGATGATGCGATTGGGGACTTACTTTCAAAGGATTACATTGGTGGCGCTTTGCATTTTTCCATGTGTTGCTTCTCAATAAAGGTTTTCCAAACACTGCCCAATAAAAAATTTGCCACGTCATCAGATATAGTTAATCATCATGTTTGTGTGTATATATAGTTGCTAGAGATCTCGAAATTACCTCTGGATAATATCTATCATATCTTGGTAGTCTTGTTGTGGTTTTCTCATCGAGTCATAGATTATCAAGTGACTTTTCACCAGATCGATGTCCATCAATATCCAGTGATTGCTGCATGTGTTTATAGGATATAACATAACACTCATTAATTAACTAGAATCAACATATGAGCCATTAAGGCTATGATCGACATGATTAACACTCACTTGAAGTTATAGGAAAGAGTATATCCTTCTTGTGGCGTTGGTTCACTAAGAAGTTCATGAGGTTACTCTCTGACTCAGACTTCCAATTAGTCATTGGAGTAATTGGGTCTTTGAATACTATATGGGGATCAACAAAACCAATTTCATTGCAGCCTTCCTTTCTGAGCTCTGTCATTGTAAATGCATATATATAGTACTTGTTAGGATAATTTATATGCATATACACACATATGATGAGTTTAATAATAGATCGAAAGAATTATTACTTATGTGCAATAGCGACTAATGATAACTTTGTCCAGAGAGGTCAGGTGGCATAGTTGATGAAATTCTCGCAAAGTCAACATACATAACATCATCGCCACGGAACCAATGTTCGTCTCTAAATTCGACACCAACGTTAGAAGTCTCCATCGGTAGGCGCTTTGCATGTACCACTTGTTTAGCGGTACATTTGCGTCCCCAGATCGAGATAAGGCTTGAGGGTTGTATAGACTCGGCCTAGTACAAATTTTTTCTTCCAAATATCAACCTCCGCCCGACTCTCAATGTTTCCATCACCAAACATCGGTAAAGGTCGAGACCGGTCTCATCAAGAAATTCACCAAGGTGATCCAAATCGACATCCGGAGGTATGTTTGCTCGATGCATTAATCCTAAATTGAACCATATTCATTACCAACAACTAGCGGGGGATTGATTGGTGCGCTTGTTGTCCGAGTTGGGCAACTCCTTTCCCTGCCCGCTTCTTTTTACTGTGTCGCCTCAATTGACTTGGTGAGAGTGCGGTCATAGTCGATAACGTTGATTTGGACGGCTTACGAGATTCCCATTGTTGATCTTTGGTAAGAAATCACCTTTTTCTTAAAATATCAAGAGCTGAAGAAGAAGCACGGTTTCTCTGGGTTTCTCCTTGCTTCTTGATTCATTTTAAGTTTGTCATAGAATCTAGACATGTCTTTTTATATGCATCGGTTCCTTCTTCCTTCTCTTGAGATATTATTTTGGGAATAACCCTTGGTTTCACGGTGGCTTTCTTTGCAAAGCGGGACTGGTTCTTCGTTTGAGGGGTGACCTCTTGCTAGGCTTCTTGGTAGGCGGGGGGGAGGCGTTGGAGACCTCCTTGGAGGTGTTGGCGGTGGCGTTGGAGACCTCCTTGTGGAGGTGTTGGCGTGGCGTTGGAGACCTCCTTGGAGGTGGCGGCATGGCGTTGGAGACCTCCTTGGAGAGGGTGTGGATGCAGCCTCGTCTTCCAACACAATGTCATCGTCTGACAGAGCACTATGATGATCTCTGGCGATTGAACAATTGGATTTAGATTGGGGAGGATCTGCTACAAAAAAAGGAATGACATATTATTATGAGCAGATTGTTAATTATTTAAGCCAATACAAATTAATGATGTAGTGTTTTCATCCGCACATACCTATGGTGAGGTAGTTGGGAGGAGGTGGAGCCGACATCCACGGAATGATGATGTAGCGCTTGCGCCATAGAATGAATGTCTTCTCCGCTTCTCCTAGAGTCTTCGCCATCACCTCCGGGGAATGTCAAGAGGCAAATCACTAAAACCTTTTTCACTTTATCTACCGAGATGGTGGCATATCCTTCTTGGATTATATTCCCATGAATCCTTGGTGTCTTGGTTGGTCGATAGGATTAACAAGACCGATAGCCACCTTGATTGTGGAATTCTCCTTGAATGTGTAGCTCACACGTTGTACAAGGTTGATGGCGTCATCCACAGGGAAGCGCGATCCTGTGTCCCCTTGATTTGGTATCTCCGTGGAAGCGCTTGTTGCTTTTCAACCGAACAGTTGGCTAATGTTGATTCTCGGCTCGATGTTCGCTTGCTTGCACTCACCGCTATTTGCACTTGCCTTTTGATTTCCTCCTGCATTCTCGCTTCAAGGTTTTTTCCCGCCTCTGTGCTTCACGCACCGCTTCCTCCAACCTCTCGGAGCCGGTGTGCCTCTTCTTCCTTCTTTCTCTGGCGACTTCAGAGGAAGGTGCATCTGAGGGAATCCATGCTCCCACGAGACACTTCCTTTGCCTCTAGTTCGCCACCATGTTCAATAGTCCCGATGGCGTATGTCGGCTCATCCTTCTCTCTGTTGGGCTGAACGCACCACTAGTGATAGCTCTCTCGAGCATAAAGCAATCTTCTGCGCACGCTTCTTGCAGTCTTGCGCCATAAACGCACTTCCACATCTCCTGGTCTAGTGTTCCCCATGAGCGAAAAACCAATTCTTTGCACGTTCTCCCCACTCGAGTGATTACAGTGCGATACCCTTGGCAAGAAGGTTCGCTTCCATTTTGTTCCACTTCTTAATGGCGAATGGGTAGCCACACGATCCCAAGGTATGGTGGTATGTCTTACATTGGGCATTATGTTGGTTCTTTATCACCCGACTCACACCCTCTTCCAGAAGTCTTGTGTATTGTACAAACTCATCCCAATAGGGCCTCTGCTTTGAGATCGGGCCTGGGACGGTAAAATCTGGTGCTATGTTCTTCTTGACATACGTCGTGTATAGGTGTTTCTTCCAAGTCTGAAGGCTGGGTGGCCATCTTCTTCATTGCCCAATCCCTAACTCGCTCCTTCAATTCATCACCATCTATTATATCATCATAATCATCTGTTTGGAGCGTGAAATGTACCAAGACATCATTCCAAATTAACGCCTTGTCACGATCGGAGACAAAACCGATATGAGGAGCATTGGTCTTCTTCTTCCATTCACGGGTACTAATCGGAGTCGGTCCGTACAAAGGTAACCACATGGTGCACAAATTTCATTTTATTCGCCCCCCCGGTTCTCCCTGTATCCACATTGAAACTACGAGATGATGAAGCGACCCTCCAATGGCTTTTTGGGACCTCGAACATTTTTACTCTTCGTTTGTAGTTGTTGATGTCGATCCAGAGGGCTACAAAACATAAACATTATTTTTAATGTCATGAGCACACATAGGACATATGATAATATATATATATAGCTAATAATAAAAATATATACTTGGCCAATATGTTGTTGCTCATTTTGTTCAAGAGCTAATCTTGACTCCGTCATCTACATCCTCTTGCATGTTATTTTTAGCACCATCATCGCCGGCAACTTGAGTGCCGGTGTTGATCAAATTCATCATCAACTCCTCCTCATCCATATTTCTGGGTGCCATCTAGCTTCAAAAAACAAAACCAATATATAGTACGTCAAATCTTTGCTTATTACATGCGTAAAATCTACAAACAATATGCATTATTAAATCTTGCCCTCGATCACGGACGCGCAATTCGCCACACTAGGGACGAACTACGTCGGTACTAGGGCGTAATTAGGGCACGAGAAAGGCGGTGTGACAAGAGTGGCGGTGCTCCACTCCGCCGTATATATGTCTCTGTACACATGGGTGAACGAGGGCGGCGGTGTTCGCCGTATACATAGAAACGCATGGACGAAATGCATATGAATACAAATGACGATATATATACGTGTCGGTATGGTGGCAGTGTCTTG